AAGATAAAGTACCTAAGTGTTTCATGTCAAAACGACGAGCTAATTCTAATTTCAAATCTGCAATCTTATCAACATCATCACCAATAATAATCATATCATCAACATACAGCAAAAGTAGAATGCAACTAGTTAAAGTACATTTAAAGAATAGGATAGAGTCATGATGACTGGATTCAAAATCAAGAGAGGTAACAACAATGAAAAATTTCTCAAACCAAGTACAAGGTGTTTGTTTGATACCATAAAGTGTCTTCTTGAGTTTGCAAACATATTCAAGACAGTGAGAAAAACCAGGAGGGGTAACCATATAAACCTCATCGTGAAGATTTCCATTCAAAAAGACATTTTTGACATCCAACTTAGAGAGACTCCATTGACAAACAAATGCAACTACAATAATTGTACGAACAGTGGTCATCTTGGCAACAAGAGCAAAAGCCTCCTCATAATCCAGACCATACTGCTGATTAAAACCCTTAGAAATTAATCTAGCCTTGTATTACTCAACTAAACCGTTAGATTTGATTTTAGTCTTATAAACCAACGAGAACCAATATCATGTTTACCTGGAGGCAATGCAACCAAGTCCCAAGTGTCTATCTTATGTAGAGTAGAAAGTTTATCAGCCATAGCCTATTGCCAAAGAGGATCCAGAATAGCTTCTTTATAGGAAGAGTGTTCAGATAGCTTATGAATGGAGGTTAGAAAACAACAAAATGACTTAGAATAACAAGAATATGCAAAATAAAGTAACTGAGTGGACTTACGAACACGTTAAGGATATCGAGGAATAGGGAAGAGCATGAGCTAGATCAACAATCTCGAGTGTTACTTGGGAAGCCATAGAATGAGGAAGGGTATCATGAGCCAGCGCATGTATACCTGTAGGACATGAAGAATCAACAATACATGGGGTATGGGAAGGTGGCCTGTCAATATCATCAAAGAATGGATCAATGCAAATGAGGTTAGTTTTAGTCAAGTCATGAGCATTATTAGGAATACAAAAGAATGGAATGTGCTCAAGAAATACGACATGATGAGAAACATATACTTTCTTATTAATAGGATCAAAACAGCGATAATCCTTTTGCTCTTGCCCATAATCTAAGAAATTACAGATAGCGAGTGAGATGTCATCTTATTACGTCCGACTTGAGGATGAAGAACAAAGCAAGTATAGCAAAAAATTCTCAATGAAAAGTAATTAGGAGGATGCCTATACAATGTTTTAAAGGGTGATATACCTCAATTGTGGGAAAAAAGAATCTTATTAATTAAAGAAACATCAGTAATAACTGCTTCTCCCCAAAATTCGCTGAAAACTTTAGCATACAAAAGAAGGAAACGAGTAGTTTTTACAATGTGCCTATACTTTCGTTCAGCAACACCATTTTTGTTGTGAGGTATTAGTACACGAAGTTTGATGAATTGTGCCCTTATGAGCAAGTAGTTCAGAGAAATTAGCTAAAGTATACTCTTCACCCAAGTCACATCTGAAACATTTAATTACATTAGAATGTTAACTGTTAATAAGTGTTCTAAAAGAACGATAAATAGAAAGAAAGTCAAAACGTCGTTTCATAAGATAAACCTAATAATAACAACTATAATCATAAATAAAAGATACATAATATCTAGACCCTCCTTTTATTATAATAGGAGCAAATCCCGACACATCAGAGTAAATAAGATCAAATGGTGCAATAGAGTGAGAGACACTTTGAGAAAAATTTAAAGCAAAAAATTTTAGCTAATTTGCAACCACTACAATCAGAAATGTTATGAGTTTGCAAATCTCCCAATTGACCCTTAGAATCTAAAAATTTCAGATGACTAATGAAAACATGTTCAAGGCGACAATCCCACAAATAAAAACTAGAAAACGAAGAATTTAGATAGAAAGATGACAAGTCAATGCTAGAGACTGCAACATGTGGTGATTTCAGATTGTCCAACATATATAACCGTCGTTGCGTACTGCATATCCCAGTCAGCTTCTGAGATCAAGGATCCTGCACATGACAAGCAGTAGAAGAAAATTGAACTAAATATTCAGAATCACACAATTGATCAATAGAATAAGATTCAAAGTAAGAGTTGGAACACAATAGACATCTGAGAGTGATAAATTATGTGTTAACGAAACCAACACCTACTAAAGGCAATGGTGTGCCATCAATAGTCATGACAAACAAAGATGAATGAGAAGGATGCAAGTCATTAAAGAATCTTGAATTAAATGACGTGTTTGGAAACACTTGAGTTACAGATTCACGAGGAAGAAATATCTGAGAAACTTTGACATGACAAACATATATGAGTAGAGGCTAAAATAGCATGTTGCTGCGTGGCTAAAAACTTCTAAAAATGCTCTGCTAAATCAGTCAACATTGGACTGAAAGAAGGTAGTGCTCCAAGTATAGCTAAGTCACCAGGTGGCATGTTGGCATCCATGTTAGCATTGGGACAATAGGATCGCAGCTGTGGTTGTGGCGTTGCTTCTTCAATAACTTAGGGAATTGAGACTTCCAATGTCCTTTTTGTTTGCAAAAGTTAAACTTATCACTAGCGACTCATAAATAACCTTTGTGCTATTACTGTGTGGACGATCGAAAAGGCATAACCAACACTGAGATATTAGATAGAAGAAGATATACTTTTCCTACAAGAGATTTCAAACGTGTTTCCCCAGCTACAAATTCACTAACCACCTAATCAACTGAAGGAAGTGGAATGCGATGTAACATAGAGCCTCTAAGTCCCTCGAAATCACTACAAAGTACCATAGAAAACTAAACTAATCACTGCTCCTCTCTAAAATTAATGTATTCATCAAATGCTTTCAGTCCTGCTGATTCTGTAAGAGCTAACTCATCCCAAATTGAATTCATATCATTGTAAAACTCGAGAGTACTCATATTCTTTCGTTTTAAAACTCGTATATCGATCTTCAACTGATACCACTTTGCAAAGTTATACTTAGTATATAATTTTTAAAAGTGATCCCAAACTTCCTTTGATGTTTCAAACTTCGTTGACTATGTACCAATGGATTGCTCAACAGAATTATGGATCCAAGTAAGAATTTTCGCATTGTTTGACTCCCAATTATCCAACTCCGTCACATAATTCTCTGCTGTGTTTCTTGGATTTTACAATAGTCCCACTAACGTAGCCCCACAATCTGTTTCCCTGTAGAAAATTTCTCATCACTTTACTCTAATATGTGTGATTTTTGTCATTTAATTTGACACTAATGGATTGAAGTCAATCATCTCCTTCAATTGCGATCATGTAGTCAATAGACAAACTGCTACAATTCAAAAGAAATCAAATTCACATAATTCTAGAAAATCAACACTAACCAATGAACCTCCACTGAATACCACCGGAATTGGCCACCTGAATATATGACAAAGTGTACGTACAATCAAAATAATATCACCAAGCAATCACAGCCTATAATCAAATAATATCACCAAACAATCACAACCTTACCAAGAACCCACTTGTATTGCAGTTGCCTATTTCAGAAAATAATGTGGTGTGAAGTTGCCAAAAATTTGAACCACCATCCACCTCTAAAATGAGAAAGTAGAATTTGAACCAAATTCAGAAAAGAATGTGGCTGCCTGTCTTCAGAAAAGAATGTGGTAAGAATTTGCCAAAAAATTGAACCACCATCCACAACTGTCCACTTCTAAATTAACCAAGAAGAATTTGAGCCAAAAATAACAAAAAGACAAACTTCAAGAATGACAAAGCAGAACATTCTGAAGCCAAAATCTTCACCACCCACTCCAACTGCCAATTGTCCACTTATCGTCCACTACCCATTTCCACGTTGCACCATTTTCAGTTTGCACAAAATAGAATCAATTTTGATGCATAGATTTGAGCTCTGATACCATGTGAATAATACAAACCAATTTGATAAAACAAACAAATGAAAAGAAGTAAGAGAGAAGGAAGAAGCAACTAATTATGAGAGCCTCCAAAGAATTAGGTTTCGAATGAAAATACATGAGTTTATATATTACAAGAGAAGTAAATAAAAAGGAAATCTATAAAAGAAAGAAGTTAGATAATAAACTAAATATTATACAATAATATTATATAGAAATTATATATGGCTAACATCACCCCTCAAGTTTTTTTTGGTAGGAGAATGAAGGGTAGCCAGAAGAAAAAGCAAAGGGGTTGGAATTTAGTGCATCCGCACAAGAAATTGGAACAGGCTCGCCAATTCACAGTTAGGGTTCTGAAATTTTGGTGCAGCTGTATGATAAGGGCATTTCATTCACTTATCCGAGTTCTATTTTTATTTATTTATATGTAAATTAAGCAATTATTACTTAATTTGTATAAATTAAATTATCTGCAAGGAAAAATCCTAACTTGAATACAATTAGTTTGAAAAAATTGCTATTTGGAGCTTAATAATTGAGTTGATTCAAAGCAATTTGAGATTAACCATATACTAAAAATGGCTTGTTATTGGCCACTCCAGAGGAAGTACAGAAAGCAATATTCGATGATCCATATGAAGAAGAAAAAGATGACTATGATATGTTTGTAGGAGTTGTCTTCCCCAAGCAAAAATATAAAAGGATTGAAGACCAAATTATTCTTGATTAGCTAAATAACACGCTTATAGAGGATCTCTTCATCATTCAATCCGAGAAATCAACAATTAAAAAGGAAGGCCAAGTAGAAATCAAGAAATTAATCATGAAGGAGCCAAACGAATTAGTGGTTTGAAAGAAGATGGAACTAGCATTCAAACCTCCAACTTCATTGATTTTGTGATTAATGTAGATAAAAAAAATAAAACTATTCTTTGAACCGGATAATTTAGGCATGCCATATCATATTCAAGAAGGCAAAATAAAATTTTGAAGGATGTGCTAAGTGTGGTGTGAAGACAATATACAGGAGTTAAGCAAAACCTCTAAAACATTATTCAAAGTGACATGAAAAATTGTTGCCCAACGTCGAGTTTGGAACTATAAATCAAGAACTAATGGAAGGCAATACATCTTTCTAGCCTTTAACTTTTTAATTTTATGTTAATGCGTTGAACATGGAAAATAGGAATTGGTTTTTCCAACTTCTTTATTTTATTTTTTATTTTGGCAATGGCAATAAATTTTATCGACAATTGTAACAAATTCTATCTCTTTAAGTGACAATTTTCATGAAAAACAAAGCCAAACTATTATAGAAAGATCCAAAATTTCAACATTTTTCAAGTAGAAAATTATATCAATCAAACACATTTAATTGACAATTTTCAATAAAACGAATTCTAGGTAATTCAATTCCTTGCAATTCATTTTCTTTTTACCCAAATTTCATTCTTGCAATCAAACGGACCCTTAAAGAAAAATTAAAGATTGAGTGCTAAAAGAGAAACATCATATGCACGGCGAGTATTGCTAAACCTTCTATAATCCTATTTTGTGCACACACATTATGTAGATTACTTAGTTAGGTAAATTTGTTTGATTGTGTGGTATATTTCTTTTTAGAAAAATTCATCGAAAATTTAAAAATGAAATTAAATTCTGAAGATCGACTTGTGGTTGGAGATTACCTGACCTTGACTGGTTGTTGATCAAAGCCAGTTTTCCTTGGTACTGCTCATGTAAATGAAAGAGTTTTTGGAGTTGACGACTGACCAGAAGTTTGCTTTGAAATGCTTGTGGAGAAGCAGATAGATTTGGCCATCATTTGACCACGCACAGCTATTTAGATTAAACCCATTGGCAATTGCATAGTCCGATCTCTATCTCTATAAGCCTCCAAGGCTTTATTTGACTCACATATGCAAGATGGAACTGGTAAATAAAGATTTAATTCATCTCATAAAGCTTCAACTTTGAATATTAGAATCATGACCTTGTGATATTGAACTAATTCGTTGTTGAAGTTCAACAATGCGAGGTCCATTGAATTCAGAGAATCTTTCTGTAAGGAATTTTAAACGATCGTGTGGGCTTATGTGTAAAATTGTTATGTTTTAAATTAAAGGCTATCGAATTCGGTTGAGCCCATTTAAAGTGATCTAACATGGTTTCAATTTTGGACCGTTATACATCCAATTAAAGTGTGGGTTCTATATGTGTAGAGATCGGGCCCAGATTCATAATTCTATGATGGGCCGAATTAGGTCAAAGGCTATCAGTATATATAAATGGTTATGGTCCCCGAATCACACGTAGAGAGAGTAAGTATTTTTCATTCTCTTTTGCATCCCATCAAAGAGAGAAAAGGAGACTACGTGTAAATTTGAAAGACTAAACCGCAGGATTCAAGTATTGCATTAACCATGTTTGATTCAGGTACGCTTTCGCTATAGATCTCGGATTTCTTAATGATCCGATATGAAAGATCCGGTAATTAAAGGTAATAAATTATCCAACTAGTGATATCAGAGTGTTTTCATGTTGAATAATTGAGAATCAAATTTTTGGAATCTTGGTTCTTGCAATATTTTGAAGTTTTCGGATTTGACAATTTTTTGAGTATATATTTTCTTGAATTTGAAAACTTTTTTGACATATTTCTCGTTATTTTTTTTCATAATTCGTATTAAGAATGAAGAAACTTCCAAATTATGAATTTTTTTGACGAATTACAAATTTTTGGATTTAAAAAAAATAAAATTTAAAAATCAATTTTCAGCTTTCCTGGCAGCAGGCGCTACCGGTTGCAACAGTGCAAGCTGTTGCAAATGCAGCAGTGCCGGACATTGTCTGTGGTACCGGCCACGTCGGCGCCGCCCAAGGAAGAAAGAAGAGAAGAATTTTTTTTTTTTAGGTTTTTAGTTTCAGCGAATTTGGGGGCGAGGGCTTGTCTTGTAAATTAGATTATTTGAGGCCCCTGCTTACAATTAGGGTTAGGGTTATAAATTTAAGGTTCCAGTCCCTAACATTTAAATTATATTCAAATTTGGGCCGTTAAGTTTTGGATTTAATAATTTAGTCCCTAAAGTTTAAAAATTAATTAATTTAGGTCAATAAAGTGTTGAATTTTATGATTTAAAGTCCTTAAAGTTTATAATTAATTCAAATTGACCCCCAAAGTTTTAAAATTTTAAAATTTGATCCTTAAAGTTTTGAATTGGTCAATTTTTGGCTCCTAATGTTTTAAATTTACTAATTTTGCCCCCTACAGTTTTGAATTAATTAGTTTTGCACTGCTAAAGTCTTGAATTATTAACCCAATGCCCCTAAAGTTTAAAACTAAATAAAATATGCAAAATTGGTGATTATCTTTCTCAAATTTTGGTACTAAGAACTATTTTAAGAGATATAATATTCAAAAGTTAATTAATTGAACCAATATGTTGCCAAAGCAACCTCTCTTGTGGAGATTGATTAACTTAGAATATTAAATAGTATTTGTTTATGTGTGTTATTCATGCGAATATTGACCAGCCCAAAGGAAGGTCAATATTTGCCCGAATTTCACATGCACCTGTGGTGGTAAACATGTGATGATTATTTGGTTCAACATGTAATCAATAAATCAGTCAAAAGAAAGGTTTATTGATTGATATGTATTTATTGTCAGTGTTTGATCACTACATCAAGAGTACCACTTACAAGTCAATATTTCTGTCTAAAGACTAGATATTGATGATGTGCTAGATATCTTGTGATGGGCCCTACAATTATTTGAGATTTATATTATTTGCATATTAAGGATATCCATGTGAGCCATTTGTAATTATTGTTCTCTAATTCAGTTTCAAGTTCCACTGCTAATATCTCTACTAACATCAACCCAATTCCAATCCTTAATGGCACGAACTTCAAGGTATGGCAAGAGAATGTATTGATCGTTCTCAGAGTCATGGACCTAGACCTCACTTTACGGATCGATTAACCTACTAAACTTACTGAGTAGAGTACCTCTAATGACAAGAGGGAGATGAAAAAGTGGGAAAAGATTGAACCGCCTAAACTTAATGGTCATGAAATGTGCTATTCTAAACCATTTTGGGGCACTACGTCTAATGAAGTAAACACAGCTAAGGTTTTCCTTAAGAATCTTGAGAAGAAATTTGCCAAGAATGAAAATGCTAAAACCAGTACACTTTTGGCAAACTTTACTTTAATGAGGTATAAAGGAAAAGGAAAAACTGATAAGGAAGTTGTGGGTACAACATCACAAAAGAAACAACATAAGAAACAAACTGAGCTTGGTTGTTTCCTTTGAGGAGCTGCAAGTCATAAGAAGAATTGTACGAATTATCATGCATGGCATGTGAAGAAAGATATTCTTCTTTATTTGATTTGTTCTGAGATTAATTTAACTTCGGTATTTAGACGCACATGGTGGATAGATTATGGTACAATAACTCACATCAGTGTGTCTATACAAAGTTGCCTAAGTTGCCAAAATCAAGTGATGATGAAAGATACATCTATGTTGGAGATGGCAAGACGGTGGAAATAGAGGCAATAGGAAAATTTAAATTATTGTTAAAGACCAGATTTTATTTGGATCTTGATGAAACATTTATTGTACTTTTTTTAGACGGAATTTGATTTTTATTTCTACTTTGAACAAATATGGATATTCTTGTTCATTTATGAATGAAAAATTCAGTTTGT